TTTGTGAACTGTTCCACCCCTATTTAGAGTGGACCAAAAAAGCCTTGTTTTGGCTTAGAAAACATGCAAATTAAACCAGATGAACGGGTCATGAGTTTAAAATGAGTACGAGAAAAACACACCGTCTTCCTGTTCTCCAGGTTACTGTTTAACGCGCTCCAGTTCCTGAGTCATTCCACAGGAAGGACACTGAAAGACCCCGAGGTTGTAATTTGACAAAAACATCTTCTCTGTCTGAACTGGAACCAGACTGCTCTTTGTACATTCTTGAGATTAGTGCTGAGATGCCTCCCTAACTGACTCATGTAATGCACGTAAACACACAAACACCACGGCTAACACTGCAGGACCTGAAGCTCCATCCATTGTTGTTTTTCTTCGTGTTTCAGCAGCTCAGTCAATCCTTTTCTCTTTCTTTCTGATAGAAAAGGAGACAGGCATCTCCCAGAAGATAATAAAACATAAAAATAGTGTAAACTTTTATATTTTTCTAGATAAGATTTATTCCCCTCTTAATGATTAATGGAAAAGTCTTCATCAGCATTAGAGCTATCAGATCAGCATGTTTCCATTGGTGTTTTGATCCATATCTTTTGCAACAAGCTTCATGTCTCCGAGTTAAAAGCCCTCGTTGCCATCACCCTAAGCAGATTAGAAACATGTTGAAATAAATAAAAAAAAGTTAATAATTTTGGCATAAACTGCACTAAGAAGCTCGTTTTAAGTATGAAATTAATTCAGTTCCCTTCTCTTCTGATTCATGTTTGAGTTTCGTCATTGTTCAGACACTATAACGTAATGAACCGCTGTTATGATTTGGTTTACATTCTTTGTTTTTTTATACTTGATATTTTAAGCTTTATTTAAAAAAAATCAGATCTTAAATTGAATGAAGAAATCCACTAGAACAGGAATCAGCTGAAGCCCTCCTTCACAGCTGGTATGTGGAGGCTGTTGTAAAAAAAATGATGTTTATAAGATTGTGTGACTAATAAAAAAAACATCTGTATTCAATTTGTCAGCCTAGACCTCTTTGTTTCAAACAGCCTGCTCCATAAATGTATTTTTAATGTCAAATTTTGGACTTCATTCCGAAAGATTCTCTTGATTTAAAAGATTTGCATCTCCCTTAGCAAAAAGTAGTTTATTCAAGTATACTAAAAGTGCACTAATTTCATACTTAAATTCAGGCTATGCACTTAAGTTTGCTTATTCTAAACTATATTTCATATACTTAACAATAGTATAGTCAAGTGTACTTGACTTACACTAAGAAGTATAAAAAGTAGTAAACTTAAAAATGTCCCAATTTAGTATACTTCAA